TGAAAATGCCGTTTTAGTTAATTCGTGTTAGACAAACTGAAGAACTTATGGAAAAAATAGGGTTATGTTCATGGGAGCCCCAAAAATCCAAACAACTTTTTTAGACTTACAGATCTTACAAAAATAAAAGTGAATATGTAATTGTAGTTCATTGTCATGATGTATTATGTTTTTTTACTGCTTAAGATTACAAATGCAACAGAAATAATATTATTTCTTGCCTTAAATTGTGGGTGCTGGTGTTTGTGAATGATTGTGGAGAGTTATGCTGTGGCCCTACTGGACTGAGTTGGATGGTAGAGGTACTGGTATTGAAGTCGATAGTTGTACTGGAGTGTGCATAAATTCTGTAATGGTGTTCTGTTCTATTTTACCCCACAGTACACTATACAACTGACGATAAGGCATCAGCTGCTCTAGACACCGGTTCTGGATCCTCTTCAGTGAAAAAGTCTAACTTTAAGTCAAGTTGGTAAATCACTCAATTCAGTAAGTCATTCAAGTCAGTAAATCAGTGAAGTCAGTAAATCAGTCAGTCAAATCACTAAGTCAAGTTAGTAAATCAGTAAGTCATCACACAAACTCATTTATCTCATTCTTTTTGTGTGCACAAAGTGACGCTTCATTACAGCCACTGGCTATCTCTTGTCTAATATCTCTATTTTCTTTGTTAATTCTAAGACTTAAACATTTTCTTGCCACTTGCAGCAACACTTGTATGCCTACTGGGTGCCATGATTGCTTGGCAGATTTAAGATATGGCAAGAAAAAGATATAAACTCCTAGCAGAGGATGGTACATATCCTGCGGGCGAAGCGTTCAAAAATTTTTCCCCTCCCGCAAATTGTGTTAAATTAATTTTACGAAGTGTTATATACAAAAATATGCCACAAGTCTTCAATCGTGCTATAACTGCACATACACTACACATTTATGTACAGTAGAGCCTCGCTTTACAGCATTTCGCCTCACAGCATTCCACGAATAAGGACATTTCAAATTATGACCAAAATTCACTATACAGTCCCCCCACCTGACTTTCTAATACGGAAACCATGACCCCACTCGGTTTGCTTACATTCTCTGTGAGTCCCGTGAGAACCGTGTCTCTCCATTATGTCTGGAAACTTTCCAAAATTTCAAATGTTTTAAAGTTATTTAATATTTTATATATACTTTGATAATTATACTTACGTGTACCTGTACCTAAATAAACTTACACACTGTGCTGGTGTGCAGATACAAATTAAAATCACTAAAAGTATCTTATAAGTCTTAAGGATGCCATATTAATAATGATAATATGTAATACACAATAATAAATCACTCTGAGGCACATTAGATATTACATTAATATAAACATTTTCATTAATCTGTATATTTTTTTCAAACATATAATAAACACATTACATAACATATAAACATGATACATACACCCCACAGTAGAATAAATTAACATAAATATGAGATATTACATGCAGATGAACGTGTATCAACCAAAACCAGATGCATTCATCTGTCTATTTATATCCTCCATGTCTCTCTCCTCTCTCATTTACTCGTTCTCTCTTTCTCTCTCTCGTTTAATCATTTTACCTTGTTTACTCACCTCACACCCTACATTAAGACCACAAATATTTTAAGGTAAGTAATGAGTGTACTGTATATGCATTTTATTGCTCTAGGGCTCTTTATATATCAGAGTATATTACGTGTGGGTGACCTGCCTGGCTGGCTACCATACCTCCCACACCTGACTTCCTACAAATAAATACTACTCAGAGCTGCTGAGAGGGGCCAATATATCTTAAATATGAAGGGAGGCACTGGTCAATGAAATTGCAAATATTGAACTTAAGCTGAAGGAATCTTACAGGAGACAAGAATCTCAGGAAGAACTAAAAGCCATAAAGGAAATTGTAAAAAAAAAAAAAAAAAAAAAAAAAAAAAAGTCTTCTCTTATACCAAATCTAAAGGAAAAAATAACATCTAGTACTGGGCCCTTGCTTAGGCAGGATGGGACATACACAGATGACAGCCAAGAACCAAGAAATGAAACATTAAAGTCCCAATACGACTAAGTGTTCAGTGCCCAGACTAGGGTCGACAATCAAAATGAATTCTTTATGAACGAAACCCAAAATTTGGTCATCCCAAAAATCTCGGATATTATCCTAACTCCACAAGACTTTGAAAAGGCAATAAATGACATACATGCCCATGCACTCTGCCCCAGGCCCAGACTCATGGAACTCCGTGTTCATCAAGAATTCCAAGAAGCATGCCTTCAGCATTCTATGGAGAGGGAGCATGGACACAGGGGTCATCCCACACACACTAAAAACAATAGACATAGCCCCACTCCACAAAGGTGGCAGTAAAACAATTGCAAAGAACTACAGACCGATAGCACTAACATCCCATAATATAAAAATCTTTGAGAGGGTTTTAAAGAGCAAGATTGCCAACCACCCATCAATTACACAACCCAGGGCAACACTGGTTTAGAGGAGGTCACTCCTGCCTGTCCCAGCTCCTGGACCACTATGACAAGGTCCTGGATGCTGTAAAGGATAAACAAAATACAGATGTAGTATACACAGAATTTGCAAAAGCTCTCAACAAGCGTGATCATGGTGTAATAGTGCACAAAATGATAAAGGAATAACAGGTAAAGTTGGTACATGGATCTATAACTTCCTGACAAATAGAACACAAAGAGTAATAGTAAACAGAGTAAAGTCCCAGGCAGCCATGGTGAAAAGCTCTGTTCCACAAGGCACAGTACTCGCTCCCATTCTATTCCTCATCCTCATTTTTGACATAGACAGAGCTGTAAGCCATAGCTCCGTGTCTTCCTTTGTGGATGACACCTGGATTACCATGGCAGTGACCTCCATCGAAGACACTGCAAGATTCCAAGCAGACATCAACCAAATCTTCAAATGGGCCACTCAAAACTTTATGAAGTCCAACGAGGAGAAATTTCAACTACTCAGATACGGAAAACTTGAGGAAATTAAAAATGTACCAGGGTATACGACAAATTCTAAGCATGCAATAGAGCGAGAAAGAAATGTGAAGGACCTGGGAGTGATAATGTCAGAGGATCTCGCCTTTAAAGACCACATCAATGTATCTATCTCATCGGCTAGAAATATGATAGGATGGATAATGAGAACCTTCAAAACTAGGGATGCCAAGCCCATGATGACTATTCAAATCACTTGTTCACTCTAGGCTGGAATACTGCTGTACACTACTGGTCCCCTTCAAGGCTGGCGACATTGCATACCTGGAGAACGTACAAAGAACTTTCACAGCACACGATAAGGCACCTAAATTACTGGGAACGGTTCAAGGTCCTTGATCTGTATTCCTTGGAATGCAGGTGAGAGAAATACATGATAATATACACTTGGAAGGTCCTGGAGAGATTGGTACCAAACCTGCACTCAAAAATCACTCCCTATGAAAGCAAAAGACTCGGCAGGAGATGCAACATTTCCCCAATGAAAAGCAGGGGAGCCACGAGTACATTGAGAGACAACACAATAAGTGTCCGGGGCCTAAGACTGTTCAACTGCCTCCCAGCATACATAAGGGGGATTACCAACAGACCTCTGGCTGTCTTCAAGAAGGCACTGGACAGGCACCTAAAGTCAGTACCTGACCAACCAGGCTGTGGTTCATATGTCAGTTTGCATGTGGCTGGCAGTAATAGCCTGGTTGATCAGACCCTGATCCACCATGAGGCCTGGTCTCAGACCGAGCCGTAGGGGCATTGACCCCTGAAACCCTTTCCAGGTAAACCTTCCATCCTACATTCAGACTAAAAATAAGAACATAAGAAAGAAGGAACACTGCAACAGGCCTACTGACCCATGCAGAGCAGGTCCATGCCCCCCCACCCCCCGGATTAGCCCAATGACCCACCCAGTCTGGTCACCTCCACTCAAGGATGGAGCACTGCACCAGACCCAGCAGCACAAGCTAGTCAGGTCCAACTCACACCCAACCATGTATTTATCTAACCTATTTTTAAAACTACACAACATTTTAGCCTGAATAACTGTACTCGGGAGTTTGTTCCATTCATCCACAACTCTATTACCAAACCAGTGCTTTCCAATATCCTTCCTGAATCTGAATTTTTCCAACTTGAAACCAACTTGTTTAAGGTAAGTAATGAGTGTACTGTATATGCATTTTATCGCTCTGTGGTGCTTTAAATATTGTAGTATATTACGTGTGGGTGGGCTGGCCTGGCTGGCTACCGTACCTCCCACACCTGACTTCTTACAATAAATATTACTCACCTCTAACCCCATATTAAGACTACAAATATTTTAAGGTAAGTAATGAGTGTACTGTGTGTGTATTTTACTTTTTATTGTTGTTAATGCCTAGTTCTATTGCTAACTTAATATACGTTAGTGTAAATTTGTTATCTTGTATTTATATGCATTTATCAGTGGAAAAAAATGGTGTTCTGCTTTCTGGTGATGTTCGCTTTCCAGCAGTAGCCTGGAACCTAACCTGCCGTATAAGTGGGACCAAACTGTGTATGCATTTAATGTATGCCATTTTCAATTTTCAAAAAACTCTGATATATATGCATAAACCTTATCTAACATATTTCTGTAATTAGGACAGCTAGTGAAATATTTGTGTACCAATAAAGTAATAATTAATTAAGATAAATTCTTTACATTAGATTTCTACAAAAGTACTCCCCCTTTCTTTGGTCAAGTCCAATTCCCTTTCATTCCTTAGACACTGTATGACCTATTAACCTCCCCATTACTGGTTTAATGCTGCCACATGAATATAATAATACAATACTATCCCAAACCATACCCCGGCCGGGATTGAACCCGCGGTCATAGAGTCTCTATGACCGCGGGTTCAATCCCGGCCGGGGTATGGTTTGTTTGCAATCGTGTCATTACGATTTCGTGAGTCAATACAATACTATAAAAGAAACAGCTATTATTCACCATTTGTAACACCTGTGTGGTCCTCGTCAATTTTGCTTTGATCTGGTGTCCCATTTCTTCTGTGATGATTGTGGTCATTGCTGGGCACCAATGATCCTTTTCTTACACTCTGAATGCCATAGTATATCACATCCAATGACCTGTAAGAAAAACAAATAAAATAATTTAAGTACCAGTACAAGTTAGCCATCACTAATCCGGCATCATTGCGACCTGTAGTGTGCTGGATTAGTGAGTCTGCTGGATTACAGTGTGGTTAGGTTAGAATACACTTAATTAACCTATCAGTAGAGAGACTTTCTGCTACATCTTCTCATTTTCATCACTGCTTTCTCCTCCACTGGCTTGCTGCTGTGGATTAACAATCATCTCCACAATTTCTGAGTCAGTATAATGATGAAATTTCCACCAGTATAATGATTTCAGTATAATGATGAAATTTGAAATTATGCTAGCTGAAATTAGTGCCGGATTACTGATGGAAACGGATAACTGATTGTCAGATTAGTGATTGCCAACCTGTACTCAAAAAATCCTGAAGCTTGGAAAAAGTAGAACATAAGAGTGCATTCTGAAACATATAAAGTCCTCACAAAAAATCTACATTAATAACCCTTCATATCTGTATGGAATACAAATAATGGGAGTAGCTAAAGATAAAAACAAACTTCTGGGAAGAAAGATGGACATGCTAAAAGATAAAGGCAGCTGACTTAAATCTACTGAAATGCTCATTAGAGATGGAAAAAAATCCTCTTTAAAGATTTATGAGGTGACACAGTGACATTTACACAAGTGTTTGTTGAATTTCAGTGGAAAGACTAAGGTAATAAGTCTTTTACTGGAGAATTTGAAGAAAAACGTGTATGATTATTTCTTTGCGAATACAATGGACCCCCGGTTAACGATATTTTTTCATTCCAGAAGTATGTTCAGGTGCCAGTACTGGAGTTTACCTGGAGAGAGTTCCGGGGGTCAACGCCCCCGCGGCCCGGTCTGTGACCAGGCCTCCTGGTGGATCAGAGCCTGATCAACCAGGCTGTTGCTGCTGGCTGCACGCAAACCAACGTACGAGCCACAGCCCGGCTGATCCGGAACTGACTTTAGGTGCTTGTCCAGTGCCAGCTTGAAGACTGCCAGGGGTCTGTTGGTAATCCCCCTTATGTGTGCTGGGAGGCAGTTGAACAGTCTCAGGCCCCTGACACTTATTGTATTTGAATTTGTTCCCATAAGGAATATTGTGAAGTAGATTAGTCCATTTCAGACCCCCAAACATACACGTACAAACGCACTTACATAAATACACTTACATAATTGGTCGCACTGGGAGGTGATCGTTAAGCGGGGGTCCACTGTATAAGCATTGTCAGGTGCTATGTGAACTGTGAGAAAAGTGTTAAAAAGTAGAAAGCAATATTCAGGATTGGAGACCCACCACAGAGGTAACAGGTAAGAGAATGGACCTCACCAAAAGTAAGTTCTGCACTGCCTCTAAAGTAGTGTTTAACACTTGGAACTGGCAAAGATATGCTTAGCTCCATTTGATACCTTAAATAACTCATAATCAATTGCTCTTCAAATGTCAGCACCCAGAAAAAGAATGAAAATCAATCGGAAATCTTTAAATGATGTGAATAAAAAAAGGTTTATATTTTCTGTTATTAAAAAACTCCTACTCAATAACCTATAACTAGTTCATAAGTACTTCGTAAAGCATTATGATTAGTCTGCCCAAAATGGACCGCATGCTAGTGGCTTTCTTTTGTGCTTAACAATATTTTATTACATGTGAACTACATTTTGTATACTGCAGAAAAGAAAAGTTGTATTGTATTGTTGTACTGTTATTGATGATTAGACAGAAGTGCATCATTTTGAGCTTGACAAAAAAGTGAAAGATATCAAAAATATCACAGGTTACTAGTGGTGCAGTAGTTCAAGGATGAGCACAAGTGAGGGGATTACTACATACATGATACAATGAGTTTTACAGCAAAGTGATGGAAATTGAACAACACTGACTATGCAAGCAAGAGGAGCCTTTCTTGCCATGTTGAAAATAATGTACAGTACATTTATTCACCAGTGAAAATATACCTGTGAATTATGAATGGCTTTATCCTTTTAAATATCATTTGGGTAATAAAGCAAATATAAACTAAAGCTAAGAGGTACCGTACTGCTCATACAGTGTCAATCTCTGATCTACCCTAACATTAGGCATAAACCAATGAAATCACTAAAAAAATTATGACTTATATTTACCTGAGGATGCTACCCTGAAGACAGATGTGAGCAATAATTCTAAATGCCCATAACCAGCGACTGGATTTTGGTAACTTGTAGCACATTCCCTCCGACTCACAAATATTCTCGTCAAACCAATACCAATACAGACTAAATGAATTCACCACCACCAGAGGTATGACTGAAAAAAAATAATTATCCCATAATATATCCATTATTCTTGGTACATTTTTATTAATACAAATAAAAACAAACCTTAAGTTATGAATATCATTTTAAGCAGATCAGTGAAATGTTAAAAAAAATTTAGTGGAAAATTACTTGGACTGCTATTGCTAGTGAGGGGCTCTTACCTGGAGTATACCTAGAGAGGGTTTCAGGGGTCAAGGCCCCTGCAGCCCAGTCTGAGACCAGGCCTCATGGTGGCTGCATACGAACTGACATATGAACCACAGCCCAGCTGGTCAGGTACTTACTTTAGGTGCCTGCCCAGTGCCTTCTTGAAGACAGCCAGGGGTCTATTGGTATTCCCCCTTATGTATGCTGGGAGGCAGTTGAACAATCTTGGGCCCCTGACATTTATTGTGTTGTCTCTCAGTGCACTCGTGACATCCCTGTTTTTCACTGGGGGAATGTTGCATCTCCTGCCAGAAGTAATTTTCGTGTGCAAGTTTGGTACTAAGCCCTCTAGGATTTTCCAAGTATATATTATCATGTATCTTTCTTGCCTGTGTTCTAGGGAATACAAATCAAGGGACTTCAACCGTTCCCAGTAATTTAGGTGCTACATCGTACTTATGTGTGCCGTGAATGTTCTTTGTACACTCTTCAGGTCGGCAATTTCGTCAGCCTTGAAGGGGGCAGTTAGTGTACAGCAGTATTCCAGCCTAGAGATAAGTGATTTGAAGAGAATCATCATGGGCTTGGCATCCCTAGTATTATTAAAGGTTCTCATTATCCATCCTATCATTTTTCTAGCAGATGCAGTAGGTACATTGTTGTGGTCTTCAAAGGTGACATTATCACTCCCAGGTCCTTCACTTTACTTTTTTGCTCTATTGTATGGTTAAAATTTGTTGTATTCCCTGATACAGTTTTAATTTCCTCAAGTTTTCCATATCTGAGTATGACTGAAATTTCTCTTCACTGAACTTCATATTATTTTCAGTGGCCCATTTGAAGATGTGGTTGATGTCCGCTTGGAATTTTGCTGCGTCTTCGATGGAGGACACTGTTATGGAAATTCGGGTGTTATCCGCAAAGGAAGACATGAAGCTATGGCTTACAACTCTGTCTATGTCAGATATGAGGATGAAGAATAGGATGGGAGCACTTACTCTAACTTGTTGAACAGAACTTTTCACCGTAGCTGCCTCTGTTTACTATTACTCTTTGTGTTCTATTTGTTAGGAAGTTATAGCTCCATCTACCAACTTTTCCTGTTATTCCTTTATCATGCATTTTGTGCGCTATTACACTGTGGTCGCACTTGTTGAAGGCTTTCACAAAGTCTGTGTATACTAAATCTGCATTCTGTTTATCCTCTATAGCATCCAGGACCTTGTCATAGTGATCAAGTAGCTGGGACAGGCAGGAGCGGCCTGCTCTAAACCAATGCTGCCCTGGGTTGTGTAACTGACGGGTATGTAGGTGGTTGGTGATCTTGCTTCTTAGAACCCTTTCAAAGATTTTTATGATATGAGATGTTAGTGCTATCAGTCTGTAGTTCTTTGCAACTGCTTTACTGCCTTTGCAGAATGGGGCTATGTCTGTTGTTTTTAGTGAGTGTGGAATGACCCCTGTGTCCATCTTCAATCTCCTTAGAATGCTGAAGGCACATAAAGGCAGAAATTGGATCTTTCCTTATTATTTTTCATTCTCCAGGTGCTGTGACCTGTATAGGTTTAGCATTTCTCCATGAATATAATAGTAATACAACATTTGTCTGTGATGGAATAACATGCCCATATACCATACCAAACCTACAAAAAGTCATTACATAAAATCTAAACTGAAATTACAACATGAAAATCAATGCTAGAGATCTGGGTTCAATTCGAGCTGTACTCCTCAAACTTTAGAGTATTATTAAAAACATTATTATATTAATGATACCAGCTTAGTAAACGGTTAAACACTGGTTCATTTCCTCAATACCACTTAAGTCCTCACAATTAAATGCTTGGTAAGATAAGAGATACAATTTTGTTTGGATTTTTAACCCTGGAGGGTTAGCCACCCAGGATAACCCAAGAAAAGCAGTGCATCATACTGTATTATTACTTGCACCTGCCATTGCCCATACCTTTTCTTTCAGCTATTACCTCTTCTTTCAGCTATTAAGTTGTCAACTGAGTTACTTTTGTCTCTTGTAATCACAATCCCTATCATGCAATACTTGCCCCCACCCTACACACTACCTATCCAAACCCACAGGTCCATTTCCTTATCTGAAAGTTCTTATCCTTCTGTGTTGGCTGTTATAGTTCCGTACCCTACCATTACTAGGTCTGCTGGCTCTGCTAGTCCCTCCCTTACCACTGCTGGTTCTGCTGGTCCCTCCCTTACCACTATTAGTTCTCTCCCTTACCACTGCTGGTTCTGTTGGTCCCTCCTTTACATTGCTGGTTCTGCTGGTCCCTTTCCTTTGTCCCTTCAGGTCCTTTACTTCTCATGCAGGTTCTTCACCTCCCTCAAATGGACCCCCACTTCTCTTCATGCTAACCCCCTTTATCCATATTTTTACATTTTATATCACTTTAAAACAAATCAAAACCTCACCTAGCAGCAAGAGTGTGGTGAGGAACCAAGCCTTGGTTTCTGGATCGTCATGCATATAATATGCCACCAGAGCATCAGATGTCACATCGAAATAGAACATCCCCATGGAGAGCAAGGCTGTCAAGACATCAAACCATCCAAATTTGGACATCTCCATTGGCTGTGTCAGGGTCTTGATTCCCTGCAAAGAGTAAATCTTTAAGTTTGTGGTTTTGAAGGAATGTGCTATACATGGATAAGATGAGATTTTGTTTGGAATTTTTAACCCAGAGGATTACCCACCCAGGATAACCCGAGAAAATCAGCGAGTCATCAAAGACTGTCTTATTTCCACTAGGGTCCTTCAATCTTGTCCCCTTGAATGTGACTCACACCAGTAGGCCAATACTCGGATACCTACTTACTTGATAGGTGAGTGGGGGCAGTAGGTGTAAGGAAACATGCCTAATGTTTCCACCCGGCCGGGGATTGACCTATGGACACTCAGGTGTGAGGGAAGAGCTTTGCCCACTAGGCTATGGGGAGTGCAAAGTTAATGAGGAGTTTCTTAATGAAATTAAAGTACATTTTCCTATATGGAAGGGAAAACAAGTGAGGAAGGTGATGTAACAAGTGTTATGTGCCTAAGTACAGTGGACCCCCGGTTAACGAACTTTTTTCATTCCAGTAGTATGTTCAGGTGCCAGTACTGACCGAATTTTTTCCCATAAGGAATATTGTGAAGTAGATTAGTCCATTTCAGACCCCCAAACATACACGTACAAACGCACTTACATAAATACACTTACATAATTGGTCGCATTTGGAGGTGATCGTTAAGCGGGGGTCCACTGTAGTTTGATTATTGCCCAGAGGATGGGAATGAAAGACACACCCAGTAACAAAACTAGCTGATAGGATGTAACACCTCACAGCTCAGTATAGAGTATTCATCTAACAATCCAAGTACAGTATGTACATACCTGGATTCAATCCTGGGTGGTGTAAGACATCGAGAGAAGTCTAACACTGGCTATCCCTGTTCACTTAGCAGTAAATGGATACCTGAATATTAGGCTAGTCACCAAGTTACATTCTTTGGTACAACCTATAGACTCCTAAGGAAATAGATCACAATGCCTGACTTTATTGGGTTATCATGTTATTAACCCTCTGGGCTTAATTTTCTGAACATTTTCTGTTGTCCTGTGAATACTGGAGTGGTTGATGTGGTCTTTGTGTAGTTGAGTATTGGAGTGATAGGTTGTGGTCCTTGTGTAGTGAAGCCTTGGAGCGAAAGGTTGATGTGGTTTTGGTGTAGTGAAACACTAAAGAGGTTGATATGGTCCTTAAATAGTGGAATGAGAGGTTGCTGATGTACTGAGAGCTGTGTAGTGAGTGGTTGATGATGTACCAAGTGGTTGATGATGTACCAAGTGGTTATGCCAAATCAGTCAAGGATTTATGTAGTCCTGGAATAACAATTGGTCAAATTTAATTTAACGAGTCCTAGGTAGTAGGTTGGTAGACAACAACCACCCAGGGAAGTACATACTACAGTCCTGCCAAGTGAGTGTGAAATGGAAACCTGTAATTGTTTTACATGACGGTAAGATTGCTGCGTTTTGTAAGAGGCGACTAAAATGCCAGGAGCAAGGGGCTATTAACCCCTTCTCCTGTATAAATCACTAAATTTAATAAGAAAAACTTTCGTTTTTCTTTTTAGGTCACTCTGCCTCGGTGGGATATGACCAGTTTATTGAGAAAAAAATTAACAAATCAACAAATCTGGAGATTAAAGCAAATTAACAAAGTGAAAAAGGATGAATGAGTCAAGTGTATTCCTCTATAATAATCTCATATACAACAGTCTTGTAGTTTTCATCCTACAATTGAACTACACTATTACAAATAACAGTGAAAAACAATCTAATTTTTACTATTAATGTTTAGAACATCATAATATCCATTTGGATGGGCTGGATATGAACTCGCTTTTACTTCTACCCCTGACAGGCTTTCTTGGACAATTTTTTTTTTTTTTTTTTTTTTTTTTTTTTGGTCACTGCCTTTGTGGGAAACAACTGATGTGTTAAAGAAAATTCAATATCAGCAATATAATGTGAGAAACATTTGTAATAACTATGTTAAAAATGATCTTCTTGAAGGCAGTCACACAAGCATCCTCACAAGGCTAAACTTTAAACTGGTGTTTGAAAGCATTTCATGTGGCACCTGAGGAAAAACAAGAAAACTTCTAAATACTGGAGGTGGAAGAAATTTGCTCTGATTCTTTTTGGTGTCCTCATTTCCATGTGAACCCTATAAGGAGTATAAAATTGCAGAGCATGAGTTACTAATGGATGTTGAGGCCTCTTTTACTTATCTTGCTGGTAAGTGATCTTGGTCTAAGTCATTCAAAATGGAAGAATGTAGCAAATAATGTTATAGTAAAGATACTTCCTGGAGGCAGCTCAGATGAAGTCACACACACGAGTTGCTGAATCTCTGCAATAAATACACCCTAAGCCAACAGATGTAACTAATTTTCTCAATAATCATAATACAAGCTATATAATGTATTATGGTACAATCCAGTAAATACATTGGTTTAAAAAACTGACAAATTGAAGAATAAGACACTTGTGCTACATTCCCATCTCACAATGGTGCACAAGTGTCTTATTCCATATCATAAGTTACTCACTAGTACTCATTAAATCAAAGGCAACTCTAAAAGCACATAAAAAAATAAAACCTATGTTATATAACTTATGGTATCCTTGAAGGGTGAAAGGTGGCTTAATGCTAGTGAAGGGTTTTTTACTCCAAGGCACTGAAACTACCTTTTGTTTCCTTGGATCAAGCCCAATTATCTCCCATTCCCTAGGCACTATATTAACCCTCACAGGTTGTCTTCCTCATAAATAATAATAGTAGTTGACCTTGACTTACACACAGCATCATTACCATGTAGTTAAGGTTATGGAGGCACCACTATCTCTTACTAGAGCTCTCTCATCCTCACATCAAAGATACAATTGTCTCATTCTTTGTATCTGTTTTCGGTATGTGTATCTTTGTTTACTCTTATTTCTCTTCTACAACTTAAGTACTGCAAATACTTGAGACAACCCTCACTTTATAAATAGATTTGCGAGTTAGTACTGATACTGCTTTCTTTAACGATATGCTAACTAGCATGTGTTGTGTCTTGAGGCAGGACAATGTGTTGTGGGGTTACCCCCCTAAATGGTGTCACCAGGGGTGGGTGACACCATAGAGCCTCTAAAGAAAGTAAAACTAATGACCAAAACAGTGCTGCAGCAACATAAGAGAAAAATCCTTCATTTCTATATAGCCTATTATAGGATTACAGAGTACAAATAGGCCTATATAGGGGAAAATCATTGATTCTGTTGATGTGATAGATGATTTTGCAGTATTGAAGGCAAGGTTATGAAACATCAGATTCACCGAGATGCTACCTGTACTCAAGGTCAAATTGGAACCAGTGTTTTTCTTTATTTTTCAAGTTTTTTTTCATTGTTGAAGATGAATAAATGTAGGATCTGTTGCCTATACTCAAAGTGGTATTTGAGTTTGTTTCCTCAATATTACTACGATTATTTATTTTATCATTAATAAAGTTCGGTTTATGGCCCTCAAATGTTCTCATTGCTAAACATTAGTCACTGGTCATGCAACAGTGATGTAACTGGAGTTTACTCCCCCATCCCCCTGCCCTTGGATTTCATGGGGGCAACACCAAAGATGCCACCCTGGGTGACACCAACCCAAGCAACGCCTCTGCCTCTGTCCACCTTGTTTATACCTCTCAGTATTTTATATGTCGTTATCATATCCTCCCTATCTCTCCTGTCTTCCAGTGTCGTCAGGTCGATTTCCCTTAACCTCTCCTCGTAGGACATATCCCTTAGCTCTGGGACTAATCTTGTTGCAAACATCTGCACTTTCTCTAGTTACCTTACATGCTTGGCTAGGTAAGGGTTCCAAACTGGTGTTGCATATTCAAATATGGGCCTAACATTCACAGTGTACAGGGTCTTGATTGACTCCTTATTTAGATGTCGGAATGCTGTTCTTTGGTTTTCCAGGTGCCCGTATGCTGTACTTGCCTAATTGTGGTTGCAGATGCCGAGACTCAGCTCCTGGCCCTGCCTCTTCACTGATCGCTACTAGGTCCTCTCTCTCTCTCTGCTTTCTGAGCTTTGTCATACCTCATCTTAAAGCTATGTATGGTTCCTGCTTCCACTACATCACTTGCTAGGCTATTCCACTTCCTGATGACTCTATGACTGAAGAAATACTTCCTAACATCTCTGTGACTCGTCTGAGTCTTCAGCTTCCAATTGTGACCCCTTGTTTCTGTGTCCTCTCTCTGGAACATCCTGTCTCTGTCTACCTTATCTATTCCAAGCAGTATGTGTGTGTGTACTCACCTAGTTGTCCACATTGTCAATTCCTCTCAGTATTTTGTATGTCGTTATCATGTCCCCCCCCCTATCTCTCCTGTCCTCCAGTGTCATCAGGGTGTGTGTGTGTGTGTGTGTGTGTGTACTCACCTAGTTGAGGTTGCAGGGGTCGAGTCCTAGCTCCTGGCCCCGCCTCTTCACTGGTCGCTACTAGGTCACTCTCCCTGAACTGTGACCTTTATCATACCTCTGCTTAAAGCTATGTATGGATCCTGCCTCCACAACATCGCTTCCCAAACTATTCCACTTCCTGACTACTCTTTGACTGAAGAAATACTTCCTAACATCCCTGTGATTCATCTGTGTCTTCAACTTCCAACTGTGTCCCCTTGTTGCTGTGTCCCATCTCTGGAACATCCTGTGTGTGTGTGTGTGTGCTCACCTATTTGTGGTTGCAGGGGTCGAGTCATAGCTCCTGGCCCTGCCTCTTCACTGATTGCTACTAGGTCCTCTCTCTCCCTGCCCCATGAGCTTTATCATACCTCGCCTTAAAACTGTGTATGGTTCCCGCCTCCACTACATCACTTTCTAGGCTATTCCGCGGCCTGACTACGCTATGACTGAAGAAATACTTCCTAACATCCCTTTGATTCATCTGAGTCTTCAACTTCCAATTGTGACCTCTTGTTTCTGTGTCCCTTCTCTGGAGCATCCCGTCTTTGTCCACCTTGTCTATTCCGCGCAGTATTTTATATGTCGTTATCATGTCTCCCCTGACCCTCCTGTCCTCCAGTGTCGTCAGGCCGATTTCCCTCAACCTTTCTTCATAGGACAATCCCCGTAGCTCTGGGACTAGTCTTGTTGCAAACCTTTGCACTTTCTCTAATTTCTTGACGTGCTTGACTAGGTGTGGATTCCAAACTGGTGCTGCATGTGTGCTGTGTGCTGTGTGTGTGTGTGTGTGTGTGTGTGTGTGTGTGTACTCACCTAATTGTACTCACCTAATTGTGGTTGCAGGGGTCGAGACTCAGCTCCTGGCCCCGCCTCTTCACTGATCGCTACTGGGTCCTCTCTCTCTCTGCTTCCTGAGCTTTGTCATACCTCTTCTTAAAACTATGTATGGTTCCTGCCTCCACTACTTCACTTGCTAGGCTATTCCACTTGCTGACAACTCTATGACTGAAGAAATACTTCCTAACGTCCCTCTGACTCATCTGAGTCTTCAGCTTCCAGTTGTGACCCCTTGTCCCTGTGTCCCCTCTCTGAAACATCCTATCTCTGTCCACCTTGTCTATTCCCCACAGTATCTTGTATGTCGTTATCATGTCTCCCCTGACCCTTCTGTCCTCCAGTGTCGTCAGTCCGATTTCCCTTAACCTTTCCTCGTACGACATTCCCTTGAGCTCTGGGACTAGCCTTGTTGCAAACCTTTGTACTTTCTCTAACTTCTTGACGTGCTTGACCAGGTGTGGGTTCCAGACTGGTGCTGCATACTCCAGTATGGGCCTAACATACACAGTGTACAGTGTCTTGAACGATTCCTTTATTAAGGTATCGGAATGCTATTCTCAGGTTTGCCAGGCGCCCGTATGCTGCAGCAGTTATTTGGTTGATGTGTGCCTCCGGTGATGTGCTCGGTGTTATGGTCACCCCAAGGTCTTTCTCCCTGAGTGAGGTCTGTAGTCTTTGTCCACCTAGCCTATACTCTGTCTGCGGTCTTCTTTGCCCCTCCCCAATCTTCATGACTTTGCATTTGGCTGGATTGAATTTGAGAAGCCAGTTACTGGACCACATGTCCAGCCTGTCCAGGTCTCTTTGCAGTCCTGCCCCATCCTCGTCCGATTTAATTCTTCTCATCAACTTCACGTCATCTGCGAACAGGGACACTTCAGAGTCTATTCCTTCCATCATGTCGTTCACATATATCAAAAATAGCACTGGTCCTAGAACTGACCCCTGTGGGACCCCGCTCGTAACAGGCGCCCACTGTGATACCTCTTCACGTACCATGACTCGCTGCTGCCTCCAAGTCAGGTATTCCCTTATCCATTGCAGTGCCCTCCCTTTTACATGCGCCTGATCCTCCAGCTTCTGCACTAATCTCTTGTGGGGAACTGTGTCAAAGGCCTTCCTGCAGTCTAGGAAAACGCAATCTGCCCACCCCTCTCTCTCGTGTCTTACTTCTGTTACCTTGTCATAAAACTCCAGGAGGTTTGTGATACAGGATTTGCCTTCCATGAATCCATGCTGGTTTTCATTTATAATCTTGTTCCTTTCCAGGTGTTCGACCACTCTCCTCCTGATAATCTTCTCCATGACTTTGCACACAATACATGTCAGAGACACAGGTCTGTAGTTTAGTGCCTCATTTCTGTTTCCTTTCTTAAATATGGGGACTACATTAGCTGTCTTCCATTTCTCAGGTAGTTGCCCAGTTTCAAGGGATGTGTTGAAGATTGTGGTTAGAGGCACGCACAGCATCTCTGCTCCTTCTCTAAGGACCCATGGGGAAATGTCCGGTCCCATCGCCTTTGAGGTGTCAAGGTCACTTAAGAGGTTCTTCACCTCCTCCTCAGTTGTTTGTATGTCATCCAACACTTGTTGGTATATTCCCTCTTGATGTTCCCTTCTGTGCTGTCTTCCCACAGCCCTTCCTGTCTCTACTGTAAAAACTTCCTTAAATCTCCTGTGTGTGGTGTGTGTGTGTGTGTGTGTGTGTGTGTGTGTGTTGTGTGTGTGTGTGTGTGTGTGTGTGTGTGTGTGTGTGTGCGTGCGTGCGTGCGTGCGTGCGTGCGTGCGTGCGTGCGTGCGTGCGTGCGTGCGTGCGTGCGTGCGTGCGTGCGTGCGCGTGATCAACTGACAGTCGTCTGAGAGCTCTGCTTCCTGCTGTAGGAAGACTAAATACCCACAACTTGTCAATCCATAATAACCTACTTCTCGTCTGCAGGGTCCACTGGGCCCACCACTTCCCAAGGTCATATCTATGTATGAGATTCAAGAAGTCACTTTGTGGCTTAGCGCTTCTTTTTGATGATGATTATTATTATTATTATTATTATCATAATAATAATAATAATAATAATAATAATAATCAAGAAGTCACTGAGGCAGAAGTCTGCTATGGAGCTACCCCTCAAGGGAGGTTCTTTGATGCCGTGAGGGGCTTTTGATTCAAAGAATTGAACCTGCCCTCCCCTTCCCTGGACTGAATCTAAATGTATCTCATTCCAAAAGGTGCTTTGAGTCCCAAGGGTTTAGCACTCCCCAGGACTAATACTACTACTACCACTACGGAGTTAACTCAGCTACAGCAGCCTTTGCCTCAGCATGTGCCCGTTCACTTCCCAGGACAACATGGCCGGGCACCAAGAGAATTATATCTACTGGACAAGATGAATTAAGACACGTGCACATGTGTAATTCTTCAAGGGAACTGCACATTTTTGTGTTGTTCACAGAAGGGAGGGAAGCTTACCTGCTTGGTCACCTGCTTGGCCCCAGCAGCACCAGCAGCCAGCACTCTGCCAGCACCGTTGGTGGCATTGTTGAGCTGTACCCTCACATCCGCCATCGTGGGTTTGATCTCTCCTGTATACGAAACCCGCAGAAAAAATAGTATTCGTTAAAATATAAAAATAATGATCTGTAATTAATTAAAACAAGGTGTTCATTTGTGTGGCACAGAAACCTTGATGCTTGTAAAGGACTTCTGATCCATGGTCTTGGAGCTATCCTTCCTTTTGGATGAATCCTAATTGTCTCCAGATCCCCAGGCGCTTTATGATCCCTATGGATTTAGCGCTTCCCCCAAGAATGTAATAATAACAAGGGACCATTTGAGTGTAACCACATTGTATTGTACTTAAAAAATTGCAAACAATATTAATCAGTGATAATAAACATATTAACGCTCACATGAAAGGAAGAGTTAGAGGTATTGGGAAGATGGAGGGAATATTTTGAGGAATTGTTAAATGTTGATGAAGATAGGGAAGCTGTGATTTCGTGTATAGGGCAAGGAGGAATAACATCTTGTAGGAGTGAGGAAGAGCCAGTTGTGAGTGTGGGGGAAGTTCGTGAGGCAGTAGGTAAAATGAAAGGGGGTAAGGCAGCTGGGATTGATGGGATAAAGATAGAAATGTTAAAAGCAGGTGGGGATATAGTTTTGGAGTGGTTGGTGCAATTATTTAATAAATGTATGGAAGAGGGTAAGGTACCTAGGGATTGGCAAAGAGCATGCATAGTTCCTTTATATAAAGGCACAGGGGACAAAAGAGAGTGCAAAAATTATAGGGGGATAAGTCTGTTGAGTATACCTGGTAAAGTGTATGGTAGAGTTATTATTGAAAGAATTAAGAGTAAGACGGAGAATAGGATAGCAGATGAACAAGGAGGCTTTAGGAAAGGTAGGGGGTGTGTGGACCAGGTGTTTACAGTGAAACATATACGTGAACAGTATTTAGATAAGGCTAAAGAGGCTTTTGTGGCATTTATGGATTTGGAAAAGGTGTATGACAGGGTGGATATGGGGCAATGTGGCAGATATATGGTATAGGAGGTAGGTTACTGAAAGCAGTGAAGAGTTTTTACGAGGATAGTGAGGCTCAAGTTAGAGTATGTAGGAAAGAGGGAGATTATTTCCCAGTAAAAGTAGGCCTTAGACAAGGATGTGTGATGTCACCATGGTTGTTTAATATATTTATAGATGGGGTTGTAAGAGAAGTAAATGCGAGGGTCTTGGCGAGAGGCGTGGAGTTAAAAGATAAAGAATCACACAAAGTGGGAGTTGTCACAGTTGCTCTTTGCTGATGACACTGTGCTCTTGGGAGATTCTGAAGAGAAGTTGCAGAGGTTGGTGGATGAATTTGGTACGGTATGTAAAAGAAGAAAATTAAAAGTGAATACAGTAAAGAGTGAGGTTATGAGGATAACAAAAAGAATAGGTGATGAAAGACTGGATATAAGATTGGAGGGAGAGAGTATGGAGGAGGTGAATGTATTCAGATATTTGGGAGTGGACGTGTCAGCGGATGGGTCTATGAAAGAAGAGGTGAATCATAAAACTGATGAGGGGAAAAGGGTGAGCGGTGCACTTTGGAGTCTGTGGAGACAAAGAACTTTGTCCTTCGAGGCAAAGAGGGGAATGTATGAGAGTATAGTTTTACCAACGCTCTTATATGGGTGTGAAGCATGGGTGATGAATGTTGCAGTGAGGAGAAGGCTGGAGGCAGTGGAGATGTCATGTCTGAGGGCAATGTGTGGTGTGAATATAATGCAGAGAATTCGTAGTTTGGAAGTTAGGAGGAGGATTGCCAAAACTGTTGTCCAGAGGGCTGAGGAAGGGTTGTTGAGGTGGTTTGGACATGTAGAGAGAATGGAGCGAAACAGAATGACTTCAAGAGTGTATCAGTCTGTAGTGGAAGGAAGGCGGGGTAGGGGTTGGCCTAGGAAAGGTTGGAGGGAGGGGGTAAAGGAGGTTTTGTGTGCGAGGGGCTTGGACTTCCAGCGGGCATGCGTGAGCGTGTTTAATAGGAGTGAATGGATAAGATAAGATTTCGTTCGGATTTTTAACCCCGGAGGGTTAGCCACCCAGGATAACCCAAGAAAGTCAGTGCGTCATCGAGGACTGTCTAACTTATTTCCATTGGGGTCCTTAATCTTGTCCCCCAGGATGCGACCCACACCAGTCGACTAACACCCAGGTACCTATTTGCTGCTAGGTGAACAGGACAACAGTTGTAAAGAAACGTGTCGAAATGTTTCCACCCACCGGGAATCGAACCAGGGCCCTCCGTGTGAAGCGGGAGCTTTAGTCCACCAGGCCACCGGGCCAAATGTTTTTTAATATTTGACGTGTTGTTGGAGTGTGAGCAAGGTAACATTTATGAAGGGATTCAGGGAAACCGGCAGGCCGGACTTGAGTCCTGGAGATGGGAAGTACAGTGCCTGCACTCTGAAGGAGGGGTGTTAATGTTGCAGTTTAAAAACTGTAGTGTAAAGTACCCTTCTGCAAGACAGTGATGGAGTGAATGATGGTGCAAGTTTTTCTTTTTCGGGCCACCCTGCCTTGGTGGGAATCGGCCGGTGTTAATAAAAAAATAATAATAATGAAAGGAAGCAACAACATGCAATAGCACATGGCAGGTTTAACACCTTTGAAAATAATAATAATGATAATAATAATCTGCACAAAAGGCTTCTTCAATCGAATACAAGCAAATATGACACTGGAGACAGAAGTGAAGAGGTCATTTTGAGGTGATCAGTCCTTCCCCATATTTAAGATACAGGTTGAGGGACTGGCCACCTCAAAATTACCTCTACATTTCTCTCTTTAGTATTATAATCACCAGTAACCGACTGAAGAAACCTGCTACTCAGGCGAAACGTTTCGACAATGATACTTAAGCGTTGCACATGTCTTAGTCTTCAAGCTGAAATACTCTAGAGCACCAGTTATCATACGTGTTATCAATAATTTATAGATAATGTACCCTAAAACTGTATGAAACAAAGTATCAATCTTAAAAATCAACATCCGCTCACACTCAACGAAGTCTTTCCAAAATCAGTGAAAACACCGTCCTAACGTATCACTCATGACGCGTCTCCTGACGTCTCTCTCCTCATGACTGGCGTTCCCTGCCGTAGCTCTCCTCATGACTAACATTCATAGCTTATCCAACCTCACTGTAATAGCTTCGTGGCGTATCCAGCCTCATTAACCCCTTCGTAGCATATCCAACATTCTTTTTAGGGGGGGAGGGCTCTCGTTACCTATCCGACCTTACTGTGTCTGGAACAGGTTTATTTCGGGTTACAAAAAGATAATTGTTGGTGAATAGGGCAACACTTAATACAGAGCACCATTTGAGATTTTTCTCGGACTTGAGCTGTATTACAGTCTTGATAAAGCTCAATCCTGAACGAGGGGAAGTTCAAAATAAAGGCTTAGTTGCATTACGTTTCACGATAATTTTCACATCCGGGTTATAAACTCTTACTTTCTAGAATTAGACACTTGCAACACTGGGGATTTTTTTATTGTGAAAACATTTCGCCAACAAGTGACTTCATGAGTTCGGTACAGAGGAACCCACTTGCTGGTGAAACGTTTCCACAACAAAGATTCCCAAATATTGCAAGTGTCCAATTCTTCAACTTATCGGTTTATTAAACCATTTACATTATATCTTACTTTCTAGTTACAAGGAAGAGAATTTACCAAGTACAATGTTCTTTAGCTTGTCCACGAAATTCAAGCTTAGCCTTTTTTCAGCATTTCCATTTTCCAAAGTCTGTCCACCAGTTTCTAATTACAAGATAAAACCCCCCCAAAAAAAATTTTTTTTTTTTAGGAAAAAAAGTATTCATTTATTTTTTTCTAGTGTTAATGAAAAGTTATATTTTGCTAAGTGATTTTTTTTCACAGGATGATGCATAATCCAGAGGAAAGAGCTACCGTAATATGACCAAAAACTCAAAGCTGATCATCATGTTCCTGTTTCTCATGGCAAACACAGCACCGTCATGATCCCAGGCGTTTCAGATTTCCAAGAGCGTTCCAGTGACAATATTCTAGCATAACCAGACAATTCTAGGAAAGAATTATTATTATTATTATAATCAAGGGGAAGCGCTAAACCCGGAGAATTATACAGCGCCTGGGGGGGATGTGGAAGGCATTCAGGCTTAATTCGGGGAACTGGAGCACAGATCCAATTCCTAAATCAAGAGCCCCTCACCATCATCAAGGAACCTTCCTTGAGGGGTCTAGGAAAGAAGCTTCAACACACCTACCACACGCACCTAGACTTAACTACTGCTGCAGAGAGCCGGTGCCGCTAGTGCTCAGGACTACCAGTCACTGAACCCACAGGTGTCACTATTTAAGCCAAGGCCAACTTTATATCACCGAGTCGGGTGCTTATTTTCACTGGCATCAAGCATTCTACTTGTATTTCACCATTTACGGCATTTGTAAGAGCCAGTACTAAACGAGTTATTACATTTCTATACATAACAACTTCTCAACAGAGGGAATTATATCATTCTGACGCATGAATATTTCACATACAGATTTTAGCGCATTTACACTACATAAAATCAATATGCTACTATGTACAACGAATTAACTTAATAGCAGTCTTTCTAATCCCGACCTCGTGGGCTATTAGATCTAATTTAAAGATAACTGGTTTCAATGTTAGCCCACGGAATATTGTCAAAAACATTAGACATTTAAAAGTGACATCTTTATTAACTAAATATTAATAGACGTGACGCCTTTATTAACTTAAAATTAATAATATTCCTATGCTGACTAAATATGCCTAATCTTTACGTTTTTAATGATACATAACAGTCAACAGTGATGCTTATACTGTATTATCAAAAGATAATTAAAATTATAATTTCACTAGCTCATCAGAGTAGTTTCTACTTCAAAGTACTACACAAACTTGACAAGAAACGGCAGCTGCTAGACACTATATAAGCACCAACGCTAACATTAATAATAAGTTATGAATATTTTTCAACTTTAGGGCTGGTGTTTGACTCAGAATCTTACCTCGGTACGCAACACA